AAGAGTGTGGGGCTAAAAAAGTATTCCAAGAAATAATGGCTGAAAACCTCCCAATTTTAGTGAAAGACATTAATCTACAGATTCAAGAAACTGTAGAGCCAATTCCAAACAAAATAAACCTAAAGAAATCCACTTCAATATGTATCATAAAGTTCAGAAAACGAAAGACAAAGAAACAAAAAAAACTTGAAAGATAAAAAACTGTCAACCCAGAATTCTGTATCCAGCAAAAATATCCCTTGGGAATAAAGATGAAATCAAGACATCCATAGACAAAAGAAACTAAGAGAATCTGTCATCCTCAGATCTACCATAAAAGAATGGCTAAAGGAAATTCTTCAAACAGAAAGGAAATTATAAAAGAGGGAAACTTGAGACGTCAGGAACAATGAAAAACAAGGAAAGAGTAAAAATATGGGTAAATGTAATAAGCTATTCTTTTCCTCCCTGGAGCAGGGAAGGCACATAGGAAGAAACAGTGTCCCAAAGGCTTGGAAATCCCCAGGCAAAGCTCACAATTGGGCCCTATCAAGGGACAAAGTGAAAGAGCATATTTGAGGCATGTTGAGCTACTGCTGAATGCCAGCTAGTGTGCTTGTAAAGGTCCTTTACTGTTTAAGACATTTTGAGGAGAGTTTTCTATCACTTGAAGCTGACAGAATCCTAACTGATAAGGCAACTGGCTTACTGAGGCTTCCTATCCAAAGACCCTGGTACTGAGGAGAATGTAATGACTAAAACAGAAAGCCTCAACCAAGCCTCCTCACTAGGGCGATACCTAATTCAACCCACGTGAACACAAATCACAGCCTTAGTGTGGACCTGTGTGGCATGGACAGGCTAATCAAAGAATATTTCTCCAACACGTAAGAGTTGCTACCCGAGGAGAGAGGCAAGCAGGTGAGAACAGACTTGACCCTTCTGGGCCAGAGACTGGGGGCAGGCACTGTTCAGAAGGAAATGCTCAGTCTGTGTTCATATCTGCTTCTCCTCACCACACCATGGGAAGGATATCAGCAAACCACAGCCCATCTAGAGGAATGGGAACACGACGGTGAGGAGCTCTCGACCACATTACGTAAGCAAGAGAGAAGACGTAGAGGAAAAGGAGTCAGAGGGGAGCATGAGGGCTCCACTGAGCCACTGAAGGGATAAGAAGCCATAATGAACTGGGCTTGGCTCCACAGCTCCATAGGCTGGGACACTACGTTATGGATATACAGGAGGGTGAGCTTCCTAACAGTCAAAAATGGCTCCCATTTTGGGCAGTGAAGCCTCCACCCCTAGGCATATGTGAAGAGAAGGCAGACATCACCCTTCCAGACTGTCCCACCCAGCCTCCCATTCCCCAACCTGTATGGCTGTGAGCATAAATGACACAATCTTGGGCCCATTCAGTTCCACTTGTCCTTCCACTGACCCTCCCCAGGACTGTACTGTGCAGGAAATCACTTCTCTGTTGGCAAGGGCTTTATAGTTAGTAGATGTTGTTTTATAATCATTAGAACCAGGTGGCCTCTATGCTCTGTTAGTCCCCAAACAATGATGAAGACCTTCGCTGATGTATTCCCAGCACCCATGAGAATGCACATCCTGTTTCCAGGCACCTACTGCCCTACCTTAGGTTAACTATAAAATTGTGCAGCTTCTGCATAGTTGTCCACCCAATCCTACCCTGTGAGTAAATTATCCTATAATAAACTGAGCCATCGCTTATATGGAGCTGTCTGCCTCATTTTTCCATCTCAAGATACCCTCCCAGTTCAGTGGGCACTTTTCATTCTTTCCAGCTTCCAACACCAACCCCACTAAAAACACTTAAGTGTTCCTTAAGGCCAACTGAATAAAAAATTTATAATTCAATTCAAATCATATTTTACCTCTTGGGACCATCAAGACAAATCAGATCTCAAGAAAGGTATCCAGATCAGTCAACATGTGGCTCTCCCTTTCCAGCTGGTACCAGAACATCATTACTTCCCTCCAGAAAAGTCATCAGAAGCAGATGAGGAAGAAAGCTCCTGCCCATAAAAAAATACCTCAGAGAAGAATATAATAGCAGCCTTGGGTGAGGAGAGAGAGGGACAGCATCTTCCCGCCACCAGAAAGTCGGTTGAGGATCTCTCCACCTCCACCACCACCAGTCTTTTCTGGCAAAGCTATCAACTACCACAAATGCAAGCTTTTTGAGCAATTCAGCCTCCTCCAGAATATGGCTGATTCCCCAAGCCTCCCACACGGCACCTGAGGAGCCAGGCTTCAGGGGAGTTTTCAAAGGTAGGAAGTCCCGGTCCCGGTTCTGTTGCCCCCAGGCCTGCTGGTCCTCGCAGCCTTGAGCCATCGGCCGGGGCACCCCGGGAGGGAGAGACGAGGAGGAGACACACGCATCCTCTCCAGAGAGACAAGCCAGGGTCGGCCAGAAGGAGAGTCAGGACGGATGGTCCCTGGGCACTGGCTCTGTCTGATGTGGTTGGAAAGAAAAGACTCTTGTTTCTCACTGTTCTTCCGGGTGACAGTTACCATGGATATAAATCAATTTTTGGTGCCTGTCAGTTGCCAGTTGAATATTAAGAGCAAGCTTTCCCTGAACCACTGTCACGCAGAGACACACAAGGGAGATGGCGACTGACGGCGAGCTCAGGTCTGCTGCCTGAGTGGACGCCAGCAGACGCCCGCTCTGGTGAGCCCACCCTGGTTTCTAACATGACACACACGCACGGGCCCATGCAACACGTGCTCCTGTCAGGGGGAAGTAACTGGACATAGATGGATACTGATTAACTCCCTTTACCCCTCATTACCATTCAAGACACCCAGAACTCTAAAGGACACTTTCCCGGAATGCCCCAAGAAAATATCCAAAAATAAGCCCCTGAGAAAGTGCCTTGCAAGGCTCATTTAATAATCAGAGCTACCATTTATTACTGGCCAGTCTAAGCAGTTTATAAATATTAGCTCACTTATCCTCACAACAACATTTGGAGGTAGACACTCTTATTATCCCCACTCTACAGATGAGGAAACTGAGGCTCAGAGAGGTCACCCAGCTAGCAGTGGTAGGACGAGGATGAGAGCCCAGCTTGTCTAGTTCTATAGCAGTTCTACTGTAGCGTCAATTTCTGGGATCCAGACCCAGCCCTGTCCCTGTGGCCTCATGCAAATCCCATCTTCTCATTTCTAAAATAGGAATAAAAATATTCTCGCTGCTTATGTCCTAGGACTGTTATAAGAATAATGTCAAAGGTAATCCAAATTTAGGAAAGAAAAAAAGAAAGGAAATTAACTTTCAGTGATCATCTACTACGTGCCGTGCAGTTACATTTTTACTTACAATGGCTAATCTCTAGTTCTGCAAGAAAGACAAGGAACCTAAGGGGAAAGCCACACGTCAAAGACCTCATAGACAGGAAGCCCAAGACTCTGGATTTGAACAGAGGTCTATCTGGTTCCAAAACTTGTGGTTTTTATGTTTTACTGTTTGTTTGTTTTTGTACACCAAGATGCCATGGGTACAGAAAGAACCCATCAGCATTAATAACCCAGGTCTCCTTGGGACTCTAATCTTCTAACCTCTGCCCCACTGGTGTGGGCATGTCCAGCCTCACTGTCCACAGAAAGGCTGCAGCTTCTGACTTTAGCACTTGGGAAGGTGGCTGCCCTAGGCCAAGACACCTTGCCTCTGAGTCCTCTGAGTTACCCACGGCTGCTCCCCACTGCCAGGCAGTTACAGACCCAATATTCTCACCTTTCAATGGCACTAAACCACAACTGAAGTTCGCGCGGCCAGTCTCAACCCCTGGAGGTGGCCTGCGCACCACAAACCTTGCGAAGTTCCCGTAGCCCAGCTAGATCCCCACAAAACCATCTGTGCACAGAGTATCCTGACGCTTCATCATTCTTGCCTCAAAGAGTGATGGCACATTCTTCTGGTGAGATCAAGGAGCAAATATCCTGCATTCCTCTCATGCTGACCTTCCTGGAGCTCACAGGGCTGCCAGGAGGCGGCCTCATCCATCCCAGAGGCAGGGTGAGGCTGCAGGGGGAGGACCTCTGAAAGGCTGATTGGACCACGGCGGACGCAGTGGCGTTCTAAGGACCGTGTGGGAGACACGGGGGTGCTTCCCCCAGAAGCACATCCAGTGTGCACGCTTTTCTTAGGGTGCCTGTTGTTGGAGGAGGGGGACAAAGGTGTAAAGGACCAAGATGGCCTCACCTCCACCAAAGAGACACACAGAGGAAAAGTGCAGACTCAGGGAGGGGAGGGAAGGGAGAGAGACAGAGAGAGAATATCTGTGACAGCTGAGCACATCTGAGTGTAGAAACCAAGCTGGCCACAGATAGAATTTGCAGTGTTATGGGAAAAAATGACAACTAAACTATTAAAAAAGAGAGACTTTAGCTGTAAAATGTATGAAGATAGAGGGAATAAATTTTCTGAGGGCTGGAGAAGGTGACTGCTTGCACTCTGCTGGCTCTATGGTCTGGAGCTGGCTTTGTAACACCTCCGAGTTTTTTTTACTGAACACCTGTGTGGTTTTGATCACTGGCCACATTACAAATTTTATTTTATTTCATCTTCACAACCACCCTCGGAGTTGTACTTATCTTCATTTTGTGGATGAGGAAATTGCCAGAGGTCACAGAGTAGGTGGTAGGGCTCCTCACCACTCTAACTCCAAAGCTTTTGCCATGCTCAGTTTCCTTATAGGAAAAGACACTCTTTGCTGATCAGTGGTCACCTCTGACAGGGCTAGTGTAGGGCATTTCATGAACAGAGCTACAGATCTTTAATTTGTACTTTTTATTTTTTAGCAGAGTGGCCTATTTGGTTTTTTTCTTTTTAACTTTAAAAGATCCAAATTATTAAACAGTCCAGACTTGGACAAAATTCTTGAAATCTGACAATTCATAAAAAAAGTGTTCTGTCTTTGCCCACTCAAACAGTACATTTGATGACAAGCCCTTTTGGGGCCTAAAGATGTAATGTTGAATCTGCCACTTTTCTTTCTCTTTCCTTCTTTCTCTCTCTCCTCTCTCTCTCTCTCTCTCTCCCTCTCTCTTTTTTTGGTTAAATAAAATTCTTTCTCTTTCAAAATTTTACATTTGCAGACTTGCAGACTTGCTATATATACACACACACACACACACACACACACACACACACACACACACACACATATATGTATATATACATGGGTTTCTTTTACACATGAAATTTTTCAAATCCAGAGTCTTGCAAATGTCTGTGAAACGTAGGAGGCTCTCCTGTAAAACTCATGAGCTGTCATAATGTGGACGAAAAATAGGAGCCTTTTCTCCTGTGTTCTTGGGAACTAGGCAGCCATTATAAACCATCACTGTGATGGGGATAGTATAGTCTTATTTTTGTATTTATAGATACACGTGCACATAGAAAAGTCTGGAAAGGTATATGCTAAACCATTATTTCTGCTTTCTTCAGGATGGAGGGGATTATGGATGATTTTTACTTCAGTTCGTATTTCAAGGTTTTCTGCTATGAACATAGATTATTTATATGCAACTTTAAATTACTATAATAAAGACTGTGTAGTCACACAAAAAAGATCAATAATCAAAAGTTAAATGAGGGCTTCCCTGGTGGCACAGTGGTTGAGAGTCCGCCTGCCGATGCAGGGGACACGGGTTCGTGCCCCGGTCCGGGAAGATCCCACATGCTGCAGAGCAGCTGAGCCCGTGAGCCATGGCCGCTGAGCCTGCGCTCCACAACGGGAGAGGCCACAACAGTGAGAGGCCCGTGTACCGCAAAAAAAAAAAAAAAAAGTTAAATGAGACTTCTCCTTCTGACATGATGTAATAACATAGACCAGATTTACTCTCCCACAATAAACAATTAGAAAACCAGATAAAATATATGAAACAATTATTTTCAGACAATGGACAACAGGTAGCACTGTGATTCCTGAGAGAAAGGAAACAGATGTAGTGAGGCTGGCAGGAATCCTAGCTTTCTGCCTGGAGGCACATTCCAGACCACAGAGTAGGAATGGAGAACCCCAATCCAGCTGTGTTGAGGAGACAGGGATGGGGGTTCAGAGAAGCTGAGACACCTGGAAATTGAAGGACAGAGTTCTGATAGAGAGAGGGAGGGAGAAAAACAGCTCCAAAAATAAAAACCTGACAGGAAATGCCCTTGAGTCTTTACTGAATACAAGATCCTCATACATAGAATGAAATTCCGGGAGGTCAGACAAAGAGCTACCAAGAAACAGTGAGCTGAACAGCTCCCAGAGATTACTTAGCACTTAAGTTCCAACTAACCAGAAAGGAGAGTCCGTGTTGATAACTCAGGGCATTCACTAGGGAACTCAGTAGGGCCATGCATATTTTGATGCATATGGCAAACCCCAGAGCCATCACTAAAGACATAAAACAGAGATGTAGAGCAAATAAGCCAGTAGCGAAGATAAAGAGGAATTTTTTAAATATTCAACCAAAAGTCACAAAAAAGAGGAGGAAAGGGGGAACAAAGAACAAACAGATGAGACAAATAGAAAAATACAGCAAAATGGTACACTTAATCCCAATCATACTGATAAATACATTAAATGTAAATAGTCCAAACATTCAAAAAAAAGAAGAGAGAGTCAGACTGGGTAAAAGCCAGACCCAATTATATGCTGCTTACAAGAGATACACTTTAAAATTTAAAACACAGATTAAAAGTAAAAAGACAGGAAAAGATTTTTGTGCAAACGATAAGCATAAGAAAACTGGAGCGGCTACATTAATATCAGAGGAAGTAGACATGAGGATAAGAGATATTACCCAGTTTAAAGAAGGACGTTTCACAATGACAAAGAGGTCAATTCATCAAGAAGACATAATAATCTTAAATGTGTATGTAACAAATAACAAAGCTCAACATACATGCAGAGAAAATTGGCAGAACTGAAGAAAAACATCAAATCCACATTTATAGTTAATACTTCAATAGACCTCTTTTGATAAATGATAGGATAAGTAGACACAAAAAGTAGAAAACCTGAACAACACTATCAAACAATTTGGCCTAATTGATATTTATAGAACATTCCACCCAACAAGAGCAGATACACATTCTTTTGAAGTGCATAAGAAACATTCACCAAGATAGATCATATAACTGAGCCATAAAACAAGTCTTAATAAGTATTTAAAAATAATTTATAGGGAGGAAGTTCTCTTACCACAACAGTTAGAAATTAACATAAAGATCTTTGGAAAGTCCCCAAATATTTAGAGATTAAAGATCACACTTCTAAATAATCCATGAGTCAAAGGAGAACTCACATATATAGCCAATATTTTATAACAACTTCA